TTACTATATATATAGATATATATATATATATATATATACCTACATTTGTAATACATATTTATTGAAAATAATATATGCATACTTATATATATATATATATATATATATTTATATATGTATGTATATATATATGTGTGTGTGTATGCATGTATATGTATGTTATGTATGTATGTATGTAGTATATATATGCGTGCGTACGGCTAGTTTGTCGTTCATTTTCATAAGTCTTTGGTTTGCTCGTATTCTTATGTTGGACTTGTAGATCAGATGTGTTTTTCTTGTTTAGTATCTTACACCTGTTGCCAGACATATGGAATACGTTCTCAAAGATCTGCACATCGTGTACAGAACGATACTTACTTATCTCTCATATGTACACATTTGTAAAGCTGTTATGAAATGTCATCACTCTGACAACTATTCAGAGTATACTTATAAATCTGAAGTGATCTTCTCTCATACTGTTGAAAGCTATATCAAAACTTACTATATTAAGATATATAGTCTAGAAATATATATTTGTGTGTACTTATTCATATGTACATGCATCTTTGTCACTCTCACGTACATGTTGGCTTTATATGCATAAACTGAAATACTTTATATATCCATGTATCTGTATACATACATATATATAATTATAATTTTATATATATATGATTATGATTATATGATTATATATACAATTGTATGCATAAATATTTGAATATAAGCATAAGTATATAAATATAAGCATAAATTTTTAAATGTAAGTATAAACAAATACATATAAATATACATATACATAGACATGGTCGTGGACATATACATATATGTGTGTGTGTGTGTGTTTTGTGAATTATCTATGTACGTTTTCATCTGTATTTAGCCTATGTACTTGTTGTCTTTTGTGTATTGTATAAATTCGAACAATTGAGTAAGCACTTGCACAATGGGTACAGCGCATTTTACCCTTGGGCACATTGCAGTCACATTTAAATGTTGCGAATGGTCGTAAACAAATGTCTTCCTCGGACTGATGTTTAAGATGCAATTTATGCTGCGAAGAGCATTTCACTTACTTTCTTAATTTTAAACGCAACATCTACTATTGACAGGGAAGTTGAAGTGAAAGATGTGTTCAGCTCGGATGGTACAAAATTGACTTACAATATAGAAGAGAAGAGTAGGGTTATCGGACAGTGCCTTTCTATCTCTGTCGGCCCGAAGAAAAAGGGTATGTATATACTGGAGGCTTCAAGCTAATTCCATAGATTTTGATACAGAGTTTGAGTATGTATTATTGACCCCGCAAAAAGGATTTGGGTGTCCTCTGTCTATATCTCAGTGTGCTGATAGCACCTAGGGGTTATAACTATTTTCATGAACCGATTTCGTTTTTCTTTCATAATGAAAGCAATAAAGATGTCCCGCTTCGTCCATGGGATCATAAGTTTCGTCTGGGGCGCAGTTTCTGCGCACTGCATTGATACCCTTATTCATTATGTACTTATGTTCATCGTAGGTGACAAAGTGGTCATTAAAGTCGAATATGTAACCTCACCGGATGCCTCTGGAATACAGTGGTTGCTGCCAGCAAATACTGCTGGCAAGAAATATCCCTATCTGTTCACACAGAACCAGGCCATTCATGCGCGCTCAATGGTATGTGGGTGCCTGTAGTGGAATTTCATGGGTTGGACTTCGAATCTTTCTTTACAACTCATAAGCAGTTTTGTACCACTCCCTAGTAAGACCGTGGATTCTAATATCTAAGCATCGTAACTTCTCGTAGATAAATTCGCTACTATGAATGTATGTATTGATAACCTGCTATCTAAAAATAGCTAATGTACCATTGCCTGGTATGAAAATCAGCTGTGCAACAATCTCGATGCCTTCGTTCTGATGCCAACGCCAATACTCACACTTGTGTATCGCACCACTTGGATTACCTCCTGCATTATGTGAATACTCGATCTCAAACTTTCGACGCCATACCCGTTCCACAGTATCCGTGCCAAGACACACCGCAGGCGAAAATTACGTACACAGCATCCGTCACCGTGCCTGACCCGCTCACTGCTCTTATGAGTGCCGCGCATACCGGAAAGAAAAGCGGTACAGATGGGAAGACAACCTTTACATTCGAGCAGAAGATTCCTATGCCCACATACTTAGTTGCTCTCGCAGTCGGAGGTATGCTTTCTCGCCCTAAACTCTCTGTGTATCAACTTACACTGTGTATGTCGTTGGAAAAGAGCCGGTTCGCTATATACTTCTTTTGCGTGTTCGTGTGCCACCCGATTGAAAGGTTGTTTGTTGACTGTCTAGAACGGGGAAAAATCACTTTCTTACGTCAAAGAGTATATATATATATATATATCATCCTCACACTTCGCTCGGCTATGTCGTGCAACAGATATTGTTGGCAAGGAGATAGGACCCCGGACGACACTGTACTCCGAACGAGAAATGATTGATGCCGGTGCCTATGAATTTGCTGAGACTGAGAGCTTCTTGTTAGCTGGGGAGAAAATCTGTGGCCCATACGTATGGGGCCGATATGACATCCTCCTCCTACCCCCGTCATTGTAAGTATTGGAGACGTTCGAAATAGATTTCGTGAACACCATCGGTGTGTATAATTTGGCCATGATGGTGAGTACATGTATTGCCCATTCTTACAGTAGGCCCAGGCTGGAAGTTAATATACTTTGAGAATCAAAGTTGAGCTCTGCATGAAGAGTAGATCTCAACGGAAGCTTGGATTGGTGCAAATATGCTCATATGCCCAAATACGTGCCACTGTTATTGTAGTGCGTGAGTATCTAACTACGCTTTATATCTGACTTTACCTTTTTATCCCGAAATCACAGCCCATATGGTGGTATGGAAAATCCATGCTTGACTTTCGTAACGCCTACCTTGTTGGCGGGTGACAGGAGTCAGGCGAATGTTGTTGCACACGAAATTGCACACAGTTGGACCGGTAACTTAGTGAGCACGAACAATTGGGAGTGCTTCTATGTTAACGAAGGTGAGTGGAATATCAATGCATCACACCAGTCTATTGGTTCTAGTTGGTTTCAGCCAGGCAAGAGTCTAACTGAGGTTGGGCACGGTGAAGGTTGCGATGTGATAAAAAAATCGAGTAGATTTCTATGTATCGCGCATATGAATCTAAATCGCTTTAAGTGCGTACCACTTGATTAGGTTTGTAAGCTGGCTAGCTGATCTGTCGGCATCATATTGTAGCCATCGGTGATAACAACATCAAGTTCTACTTACATAAGGTTTGCTGGGGTCGTTGTCCGCACACCTACGTTTGATCTAAATATATTGCAGAAGCACGATATTTGTATAATTTCTAGTACTTACTACAATTGAGTGTATCTTTGGGTTGTACATCGGGATCTGTGTATCTCATTCTGTACAAACTCCAAACAATGCAACCCACTCCAGTGTGTATGTTTATGACTATACTTTTACTTACATATACGTATGTACGTAATAATTGTTGTTTTTTACATACATGGATAATGATATTCATGCATATAAACGTCCATCTCCATACATCTGATAAAGACGCACTTATGCTTGCACTAGTACCATTGAAGTTGGGGGGGTACACGTAGATATCGGCACGGTCATATGCAGGATTGAGTCGTCTTATTCTCCTTGTCCTTTGAACTCGCTACGTCTTAGGCTTTACCGTGTGGCTCGAGCGAAAAATTCTGGCGGAGATCTTCGACGAACATTTCCGGTCCTTCCATGCCTTGTTGGGGCTACAGCATCTGCAGGACGATATCGATCTGCTAGGTGAAACAAACCCTCTCACGGCGTTGGACATCAAATTGGGCACAGATATTAGTCCCGATGATTCCTTCTCCTCAGTGCCATACGAGAAAGGTAGTGCTTTCCTATTTTATCTCGAAACACTCGTGGGAGCTGAACCATGGGGTGAATTCTTCAAGGCATATATTAAGGAGTTCTCGTACAAGACCGTGACCACTAAACAGTGGACGGACTACCTCAAGGCGTACTTAGAGAAGAAGAATCTCTCGCACACTCTGAAAGAGGTAATGTCTACTTTTACGCATTTTCGTACTGTGTGAGCATATTCGTTTTAGTATAGGGGGCGCGTGGTTTTCCACTTTATAACTCATCTTTATTGTCGTTGGAACTCTACTCAGGTGGATTGGAATGCGTGGCTGAATAATCCTGGTATGTCTAATTATGCTTATCATCAGCATGTTGCTTCATTTGTTCGTTATAAATATAGTACTATGTGTTGAACTATGCTTGATCCTATTTTTTTTACTTATACTATGATTGGTTTTTTGAACAGGAATGCCACCCGTCACCGTCCCTCGCGACATGGTCATGTACAACGCCGTAGAAGCCTTTAGAGTGTACTGTGAAGAGCTCAAGAAAGAGAACAGATCTGAGCTCGAGTCGTGCACCTTAGCCGATGACTTTGTTGCCTTGCAATGGGTTCTTCTCCTTAACGAATTGCGTGCGAACTCCGACAAGCTGAGTCTGTCTTTAGTACGAGCGCTTGATAGCAGATATAATCTCAATGCTGTGCATAACAGTGAAATTCGGTTCGTATGGCAATTGCTTTGCTTGAAGCTAGGTGACGAGATAGTGTTCCCACAGGTATGTGCTAAGGCTCTTTCTCTATATTGTTTGTGTTTAATATTCAGCTGTTGTGTAGTGTTTCCGTGCTTGTCCCGTGCTAAGTGAGTATCTTAAAATATGATTCCTCGAGTTATTGCACACCTACAGCTAGGATTTCCTATCATTCGTTGTTGAAATCTATTTTCGCTATCGCTGTACGCACACGTTCTCGTGACAGCATCGAGGCCAAGCACTTTTTTTTACCTTCCTCTGTATGTATCGTCCACTACAAAAATAGGGGTGTGAATAACTCGGTAATTTTCCGCTCCACTAAGTTTTCTCATTCCGATAGCTTTTTGATATATTTTTAGAGTGCATGTGCTCGTTGCTTCGATTGTTTCTAGTTTTAGCGCTACTGATGGGTACATTGACTTCTTTTGTGAACAGGTCATCAAATTTATCACCGAGCAAGGTCGTATGAAGTATGTTCGACCGTTATATCGTGCACTGGCCAAATGCTCGCCTGCAGGTGAAGAGTTGGCATTAGAAACCTTTAAGAAGCACAAGAAATTCTACCACAACACTGCCGCTGCTATGGTGGCAAAGGATCTGCGTCTCTAAAGGGGATATAGATATAGCAAATTAACTATAAGCTAGCCAGATTAAGAGAATATTGTCGAGGTTAGTGACAATCGTGCCATTGCTGTTGCTTTTAATTTGGTCAGACGAATTAACGAGACATGCCCATAGCAAGAGAAAGGCATCTTCTTTATATTTTCCTGTCGAGAAAGAGGTGCTTAATTCTTGCAACAGCACATATAGTATATTGGACGCGTTGGCAATAATAATAGTCACTTTTCACAACCTAAATATACGAATTGCCTTGGCAGCATGTCACATGACTCTCTGCAATTTGAAGTAAATAGTTGGAACAGACAATCGTGAGTTCGTGACATTACTGTTGCTTCTATTTTGAAGCTAATCAGACGAATTACGAGACATGCCCATGATAAGAAAGGCACCTATGTACTATATATATATACTTCGAGAAGATAGAGCTTTTAAAAATTTGTGCAACTGTAAGGCGCCTGGCCCTATAGTGCCGAACTGTTAAGTGAGTACACTTTACCGGTGAGGGTGAGTGCACCCAGATAATAATGATGACAACACACGCGCACATGTTAAGAACAATGTGAGACCAGATAGTGTGGGTACTAAAGTCGCACACAGTAGTTGAGGGTTATCCTTTCGTCTTGACCTGAGGATGCCCTCAACCTTACTGACAATGTACGAGGGTAGGACATAGTGTTTCTGCGACTTACATTGCCAGTAATTCGGTCATCTTCGGATAAAACTGACGTTTTTAGTTGTTTTTGTGGCATCGTGATCTAGTGCTTGAATCAGTTTAGGTGATATTGAGTAGTAACGAGTATGCCATCGGTTCTTCTTTCTGTGCCTGTTACGGGCGGTACCATTGAGCCGTACCAAGGACTGAAAGGTCAGTTGTTAGTGCCCATTAGAGGTGCTCGATCTGCGGGCGGCGACGAAGGAATGGACATCGGCCAAGGGAGACCAGGCGGAGAAGGTGCATTTCAACTCCGGTTTGAGGGATGAGTCGGGAAGGTACTTGCCTCCTGAGTGTACTTCATATGCTAGGCGGCTGATACGGATTATCGTGCATAAATCACCGTTGTACCGGTTTCCGTATGAGACCAATGAACCCATGAGGAGGGCTCTAGTGCGGGATTGCCGGAAGGACACGCAGTTTGCGAGTGAGATACCTATGGAGTTGATCTCGCTACTGCCACGATTTACCCTGGTATGGACATTTTTCAAGTGGAGTAAGATGGTGTCCAAGTATTCAACGCAGGAGGCGAAGCATTTTGAGTCATTCATGGCAGGCGCACTGGATGGGGCGTTGGGTATGTTACCTGAGTCTGGGGAGCATGATAATGCGGAGGCTGTCAAGTTAGCGAAGAAAGCGGCGGCGGCAGCTGTGAAGGCGAAGCAGGAGGCATTGCAAGCCAAGGCGCGGACGATGCGATTCGAGCTCGTATGTTTGAATCGGTGCTTACGCCGTGTGCGCCAGAGGAGGAAGCTCAGGTGGCAAAGATCCTGAGTTTTTCTGGTCGCAGGGAGAGTATGTCGTTGATGAAGTTACTGTCGTCGGTATTTTGTATTCCTGACATCTATGCACCCTGGATATGGGCAGGAGGTGTTCGAAGCCTTGCAATACGCATGGGACGAGATTAATGCCTTTATGACAGAGTTGTTCAAGGATACGCTACACGCGCCAACTGTGACGGTATTGAAGGAAACATACGGTTTTACGGATATATTAGATTGGTTTCGCAATATGCAAAAGACAGCAGGCGGAAGTTCTCTGTAGAGACTATTGCCTTGCCTAGTGTGGCAGCAACGAGGGAGCATGCGCAAGAAAGTTTGGCGGATCGCATCGGTGGTCAGGCTGAGCAAAGGGCTCCGAATCAGTTGTCCAACAGTCAGCTGAAGAAACACCACAAGGCGACAGCGCAGGCTGAATATGGACGGAAGCGTCAATATCACAAGCCGCAAGACTTCTGGGACGAGCGTCGCAGGGAGGAGGACAGGCGTCGTGATAGTCGACACAGGGATGACCGGTCTTTGCGTCGCTCTCGTTCACCAGTTCAGGATATGCTCAAAGTGCGCTCAGAGGCGAACAAGGCAGATAAACGTGACGATAGGGCTGAAGCGCGATCGAGGGCTAAGCCGAGGTCGGCGTCATTCACAGGGTGTTTTAACTGTGAAGAGGAGGGCTATCAAGCCAAGGACTGCCCGGAGAAGAAGAATGTCATGAAGGCCACCAAGACCCGAGGTGTCTGACGTGGCCCAGTGGTTGCGTCGTGCGTGGTGGAGTATGAAACTCTGACGTATCAAGGGGTATTTTAACTCTGACAATGAAGGCTATCAAGCCAAGGACTGCCCGGAGAAGAAGAAAGCCGTGATGGCCACCAAGACCCGAGGTGTCTGACGTGGACCAGTGGTTGCGTCGTGCGTGGGGGAGTATGAAACTCCGGCGTACATGGATGCAGGTTCAGCCATTAACTTTATATCTGAATTTACTGTTAATAAACTGAACATAGCATGTATGATGGGCCACCAATACATGGTATCCCAGGCATGGGAAAGATCCGCCCCCTTAATCAGGTGCGACTAGGCATTGAGGTAACACGGTAGATGGGTTCTTGCAGACTGGGGAGCAGACATGGTTGCAGCGAGTGCCAGGTCCGCAGCGCAAGTCTAAGAGGCGAGCCAGGGGAGGGTACAAGCAGCGTAGGAAGAGGCAGAAGCAGCAGCTGGTAGGGGGGCGTGATCTGACGGGGTTATAGCCGCCGTTAACGTGGTGCGGGTCTGCGATTCCACACCGGCCTAGTCTGCGGCAAGAAGTGCTGTCTACGGAGATTTCCTTCCCGCACGAAGAGGACGTTTCAGCTCGAGGTGAGGCTTTCGTACAGCCACCGGTTGATGCGGGTAGCATACAGCACTCGTCACCGTCGAGGCCTCGGAAGGTCCGCCATCACACTGATAAACTAGCACGATAACACAGTATTACATTCCTACTTGCACCGTTTCGTTCAGCTGGTAAATATTAGTAAAGTCCACCGTTCTCCTGTACAGTATTTTGTTGTTTTTATATATGTGCTGGGCTACGAGGCTAGAATACAGGTTGCGGCGCAGCATCCGTTAGCGTCCAAAGGCGAAGATGAAGCCATAGTGAGTGGGATGTACCTACCTGGTAGGCCTGATATACTCCACAATATTGATGTGGTACCGGACCGGGAAGACAGATATTTGTCAGGGTTTGACTCAGGTTATGGGTCTGGTGAGGATGGCGAAGGTTTTGAGGCTACGGGATTCAGGAACCTCGGTGAAGCGGCAGGAAAGACTGCGGAGGAATTTTTTAGATGCTACTGCGCTGTTTCACGCGTGTGCATATAACCCAGACAACCACAAATTTGCCAAGCTTGATCCGCTCAAGCTGTATATTAAGGTAAGAGCGCAGCCCAAGCGCGGTGGCCACAAGCCGTACACGAATCTAGATTCGCCAGAAATGCTGGCGACGCATGCGAAATTGTTGCAGTTGCTTGAGAGGGGCATAATTCGGCGATGTGAAGATCCTTCCAACAGATGGCAGGCCAATATGATGATGGCCTGGAAGAAGCCTGGGCAGAAGCCGCGACCGTTGCCCGAAGGGTTGGATGAATGGCAATTCTGTACCAATTTCAGCCGCTGGAAGGAGGCGCTCGACTCGGAGTCATTCCCAATACCAACGGAAGCGGAGATGTACTCGTTGTGGAAACCCCGTGGGTATCAGTGCTGGATTGTGGCAACGGATTTAATCAGCTCAAGCTTGATGACGAAGCATCGCGGATGTTGACGTTCACGACGCCGTGGGGACGATTCTCTTATGCCGGGATACCCTTTGGGCTCCGTGAAGCTTCTTAGTGCAAGAATCCCTAGCGAAAGTTTTTTATTCGTTGCACCACGTGATATGGTACATAGATGACATTGTGATTGCCTCTAACAATGCAGTAGAGTACTGGGACGACCTGACGGCAGTGCCGCATCGGTGTCGGGAATATGGAATCCAACTGGGCATGAGGAAGTGCCAGATAGTGTACTTCAGGCGGTCGGTAACGATACTGGGCCACAGGGTTAAATTCAATGGGGTATCAATCACGGATGAGCTATTGGATGCACTTTGATGTGCCCGTCTATGCCTTCAATGGGATGGAGAGCTAGGTACCATGTGATGGGGTATAGGTGCAGATATTTAACTACACCAACATGGTGTTTTTTTATTTCTTTTTCTTTTTCTTAAGTTGCACTTAAAAGCTATTTTATAAGTAATTGCGATTGGAGGATAGCTTCGAGCATGAAACGAAAAGAGAATAAAATATCGTGCATTCAATGAAATGAAATCTGATCTTAAATACTGACACCAAATAAATCTAGACCGAAGTAGTGAATAAGTAGAACGGAGCATATAGACAATATCTCAATCTAAAATCCCTTAATCATTATCAAGGGCTAAAGCTAAACTTAAATTACATTGTGCAAATTTACTTTGAAATCGGACTTTCTTTTACGTTAACTTATTGACATCGATAGTCAGCCTAAATAGTCTGACTTTTACATATTTTTAAGTATATATATGCTATCGACATCATGACGAAGCGTGGATGAATAGCGAAGAGAACTAAGAACCAGCCTAAGGTGACAAGTTCTGAGACCTTCTTGACCCCTGACTCTTCAGTGGACGACAAGGTCGAATCTTTGATGGCTGTGGCGATACCTCACAAAACACCCGAAGATGCGACGGGTAAAGAGAAGTCCAAGAAGGCCAAGAAGTCAAAGGATGAGGCCAGTAGCGAAGTCACTAAGAAGTTCAAGGAGAAGAAGATTGAGAAGAAAGCGAAGAAGGAATCACCAGAGAAGGCGACGCAACCCGGAATCTGAACCAGAATCAGAGAGTTCAAAACCGGAATCGGAAGGTCCTAAACTAACCGCCCGAGTTCTATGGTAAAATTCATACAGCCGAGTAAGAAGGCTGTACCCAACACGAATGGAGGACCAGGTAATGGTCAAGACTCTCATACGGGAACGGAAATAATAAAGGGAAAAAGGTGGAGACAGAGGTGGCCAGAAAAACAAGTGTACACAAGCGTGTACAAGATACTGATGGTCACAAGAACAATGTCAACACTCGCGGGACCTTGGGCAACAAATCTAATCAGGCAGCCGAACCTCCTAAGCTTAAATACATGGAGACCAAGGACTGTGCTGAGGCAGATTGCAACTGGCGCATGACCCAACATGAGCCGAATGGGCGCTGGAATTGCAGGCACGCGGAGAAATGTAAACATTTTATCGCGAAGTGTGCAAGCTGCGCAGGGACTGGAGGTTCCCACAAACACATGTGTAAGGTGCAACCGAAGGTAGAAGTTAAGTGACAATCTTACCGGATCTTGGCACTAAAACAAAAGGATGCACCGCAAGATGAGACGAGTTAATGGGCATGAAATAAAAGCGTTGTTGGATTCGGGCTCGCAAATCTCATGTTTTAGCAGAACCTACTATGTTAAAATTGGATGTCGAGAGGGAGATCACGTGCCGTGACATGGCCATAGATTTGAGGTTTACTCTCACTGATCAAAGGACAACCGTTACAAAGGCGGTCGTCTATAACACTAAGCCAGACTATGACTTAATAGTGGGATGGGTGATTTGCTATCGTTAGGTATAACGATCACCGGTTTACCGACGAACATAGACCCACAGAAGGATCAGTCAGGTGATAATCTGCTGAATCCTGTATATAAGCCTATCGTGAATGAAATGATACCTCAATTCACGGAGAAGCTAAAGTATCTTATCTTTGAGAATAACAAGATTAAGATTACGACTGCGCTCAGTTCAAAATCAACAATGGATACGTGAGCTTAGACTTGACAAAAGTAGACTTTTCGAAGTTGAAATGTCCAACGCAAAACTACGTAGCGTGGCGTCACGAACAGGTAGTCCGAAAACAAGTTAAGGCATGGTTGGAAGACGGGAAAAATGCCGTCAACTACGAACCGACTCCAGTCAACCTTGCACTCTTGGCGGTAGACCAGTTTAGCTCCGATGTCACGTTCACGTTAAAGAAGGTTCGCGTGTGCTTATATATGAGTCCTATAAACGCTCTTATACCTACACACAACTTTCACCTACCGAGAATTAAAGAATTGCTGAGAGAATTAAAGAATTGCTGAGAGAATTAAAGAATTGCTGAGAATTAAA